TTCCCCCAGAATTTCCTTTTTGTGGCATGGAAGCCTGGGTTTGTGCCTTGCTTAAGTGTCTTCTCATTTTTGTTTTTGGTACTGTCCTTGGTTTAATTCCTCGGTTGATATTTCAAAATTGCTTAATGTGGGTATCTTTGTTTCTTGTGTTTAAAACCCTTGTGGAATGATTCCTTTTCAGAGGTGTCTTCCAGATATAGCTTGTGTTTGGGTTTTGAGACTCTAATGACTCTGAGGCTATTTTATTTTCCTCATACCATGGAGGAAAACTAATTAGATCACAACATGTTAGCCCAAATGACATAGTCAGCAATACCATAGCATCAAGCACAGCTTAGAAAATGACAATTTGCGGTAGTTATTTATCTATCACATTTAACTATGTGAGTTAAATTAAATCCGAGGACCAACCCAACGTAAGTTTATAATGAATAAACTCTTCAATATAGCATCTTTCCCCTTGGGGTGGGGAGTTAAAAGGAGTTGGGGAGGGAGGGACAGGTAGAAAGAAAAGGTAAGATTAGCAGTGAGGCCAGAAGACACTGAAAGATCACACAAACTCTAAGAAGTTGTTAAAGGCAAGAGAAAAGGACAGAATGAAAGAACAAAGATGTGAATAGAATCACCTAACAGCAACAGGGAGGCTACATATCGAATTTTTTCTTTAAACCTAATGATAAGAGAAGGAAAAAGAGAAGAGAAAAACAATAAGGGAGAAATCTGAATTCAGTGCAGAAAGGAAGAAATGGGGAGATGAGGAGCAATGTGGGACAGTGAGAGAACAGGTGAGAGAGAAAAAGAAAATATAAAAGAAAGAAAAGAAAGACAAGTAAACATTTGAAGAGTAAAAAAAGTAAAAATTAAGAGTTAAAAATAAGAGAAAAAAATTTTTTTTCTGTTTTGCAAATAGTAATAGAAATTATGGGCCTCCTTCAGGGTATGTCTCTGCTGTCACAGTAGGCAACGTAGGAATCCTTGTGCATATACGAGTGAATGAGTCTCAGCAAGCCAGTAGGAGACCAAGTACAGTGGTCTGATGTGCCTTTATTGTAGAGATTTGTTTTATTTTTCCACTGAGCTTCAGTTTTCATTGAGGAGCCTGAGAAGCCCTCTTTCTGTTACTAACTTCTGGGCTATCTTGTGGCGCTCAGGACAAGGGTCTTTATAATCTCCTGTGCCTCTGGCTGGTCGCAGCTTGGATAGCATGGGATGGGGTGGGGCTGCAAGATGCCCCTGGGACTTCACTGTGCCATGGGTGGGGCCTAGGATGGCTGCCTGAACCCATTCCTGTAACCCTTTTAATAGTGACACCAATTCATTCATGAGAGTGGAGCCATCGTGACCTAAACATCTTTCGAAAGGCCCTACTTCTCAATACTGTTCTATTGTGGATTAAATTTCCAGCACATGAATTTTGGATTCGACAAAAATATTCAAACCATAGCATTCTATTCCAGCTCTCCAAAAATTCATGTGCTTTTCACATACAAAATCTACTCATTTTATCCCAGTAGCTCCCCAAGTCTTAACTTATTCCAGCAACACATTTCCCTCTGGCTATGAGCTTGTGAAATCAAATGAATTATGTGCTTCCAAAACACAATTGTGGGATAGGCATAGACAGACATTCTCATTACAAAAGAGAGAAACTGAATAAGAAACAAAGAATCCCAAACAAGTCCCAAGTAAGTGTAAAAACCAACAGAGCAAACATTAATTTTGAAGGTTTGAGCATAATCATCTTTGACTCCATGCCCTGTTGCCTGCACATACTGGGAGAGGTTGCTGCCCTAAGGCTGTAGGAAGCCCACACTATGACTCTGATACACTGAAATTGCATGACAGCAGCATGCCCAAGTTAGAGCTTGTTGCTGGAGGCTCTACAGTGCTGTGATGTCAGAGGGAGATTGGCTCCGCTGGTTCCACTAGCATTTTAGCAAGGTCTCAACTGAGGCAGCCGTGACCCTGTAGTTCTGCTTAGAATTGCCTGTCAGGGTTCTTGATGGTGGCTCAGAACCTGCAACAGGTTTCTGCCTAGGCCCCAAGTTTTTCTGAGGTATCCTCTGAAATCCAGGTGGCAGCTATATATCTACAGTCCATGCACTCTGTGCAGCTGCAGAATTAGCACCAGAAAGCCTGCTACCAGGGCCACCACTTGCACTCTCCAACTTGGTGGCCCAAAATGCACTGTACTCCCTTCAGTGACCACTGCAGCAGCCAAGGACTATGCAGGAAGGCAGGGAGCAGAGACTTGAGGTGGGCCTGGGCAGTGAGTCCCAACGTTCTAGGACTGACCCAGGTTTGTTGCTTTAAGTGGTTCTGCCCTAAAACCCCTTACATTTTGGGTCTGGGAGCCCCATGCTTAATGAATAGCACAGGACTTCCTTCTACCCATAATGATCTTATCAAATGATCTTCTAGCCACACCCACTGTTCAACATGCAATTTTTATTCTTTCCATGGCCTGGCTAAGACTTTTCCAAACCTTTACATTTTAATTCCCTTTTGATTGTAAATTCAGTCTTTAAACCAGTGGTGGAGGACCTATATCACACATGCTGCAGAGGGCTCTTTTGTATCATCAAAAGCTCTAAAAGGTTCACCATCGCTGCTTTAAACCCTTCTTTTCCCAGTTTACCATAAGGAGTTCAGAAGAGTCATGCAGCATTCTGTTACTTTATTGCTTACAAATTTCTTCTACCAAATATCTAATAATTTAGAGAACATATATGTATTCTTTCACAGTTCTTAATTTCCTTTGCTAATGAGTGAAAGAGTTGTAATTCATTTCTTTATACAAAACAGTGTTTTGCTCACATGTAGTCTTTTTCTTTATTATAATGAGAAATGAATGCTACATAAATATCTGGGTACCAGGGAAGGTCTTTAAAATTTTACCTAAGTAAAATTACAAAAGGAATCAAAGTAGTCTGGCAAGGTTTTCTGTTCTATCCTAGACAGCTACTCATATAACAAACAATATGAGCACATAAAAGAACAGTATGCTAAAACAAAAAGGCAACTTAGCACAAAATAATGAAATATGTGGTTAAGTTGAAAGTGGAAGGATTCTCAGCCAACCAGTATGAAAATGAGCAATCAACTTGTAGTTTTTTTTTTCACTCTTATTGTTTTCAATCACTGCAACTGCCTGCCAAAACCATTAAAAGAAAAGCTGATGGTGAACTTTATACTCGATACATTAGGCTCACAAAAACTGAAAGCTGCTGATCTTAGTATCATTAAATATGGGACAAACAAACTGATATGCCTAACGTGATGCAATTTTCTATTGCACGTAACATTATGAAGTATTTTTGCACAAAAATAGAGACAAACAACAATAATCTACAATTAATCAAGTTACATAGAACAAACTGATAAGACTTTTTGAGCCAATCACAGGTATGTGACTGAGAACAACTATAGATCTTACTATAGAAAAAATTGTTAACTGTTAGGAATATATACTAAAGTGTTTATGACAAATAATAAACTACCTGGGATTTGCTTTAAAATTTTGTACAAGTAGGTTTGGGTGCTGAGTGTGTGTGTATGTGTAAATTCATGTGTGCAGATGAAGCACAACTGGTAAAATGTTGGTAACTGTTAAGTTTGTCATGAGTATGCAGGGATTCCTTAAAATCTACTTTCCATTTATATTTTAAATGTTATAGAATACAAAGATTAAAAATGGCTTATTTCCCCAACACTGTCCTAGCTACACATAGTTCATTATCATTCACATATATATTGGCTCAATTATTATAATCAAAAGCAAAACAATTATACTCATCTAGAAAGAGATTACAAAACTGCCGAATGCAGTCACTCTTTCTTCTACAGTCTTATAGGCTTTTCAGCTGAGTGTCAAAGAACCTTTATCTCAGCTGTCCATTTCTTCTGTGTACATTAACAACTTCAAGTTATCTGCTAATCAAATGAATTGTTCCATACTGAGCAAGGTGCTGGCCTCCTTCCATTCAATCTTGCTTTACTCACATTAGCTTTTTACAGAGCACAAGGTAATTTCATTAAGTAACAACCCACCAGTTTATTTTAGTACATAGCCCCAAGAATCGTTAAAATGAGCATCACTTATAAGTTGCACATTCCTTTAAGGGAACAGAATATTACCTCATATAACTTAGATGAAAATATAGTGTAAAACATGCTTTGCATTAGACATTTTTTGTAAATGGCCGGTCTCTGAGTATTTCTTCCTTTAAATGTGGGGTTTTCCTTCATGGTAACATGAAAACCCTTCCCAAATGTGGAAGAATACACAAATGATGCTCGGCATTTGAGTGTATCTAAACTTGTAACTTTCATTTTTAAAGTAAAAGTCAAAATGTATTACATAGCAAGTTTAAGGGTCTCAATTATTGGACAAGAACAGTGTCCTATTGAAATACTAACTCAGGAATATAGGTCAACTCATTTATATTTTTGTAAATTGGTATTTTATGTTTTGGTTCTTTTTGAGACAGGGTCTCACTAGTTCAGGCTGGCCTTGACCTCACTATGTAGCTCAGGCTGGCCTCAAACTCATGGCAATCCTGAGCCTCAGCCTTCCAAGTGCTGGGATTGCAGGCATGTACAACCACGCCTGGCTACAAGTTCCTATTTTATTAATGTATGCTTTGACAACAGAAAAACAAATTATGACCTGTTGTTGGGCCTTGTTTTATTGTTTATTTAAAATATATAGCAGTTATTTAAAATTTTTACATAAAAGGATATAAATGTTTAGAAAAGCAATTTTAGCAACAAGTCTCATAAATACAACTATTAATTTGCTTTAATTTAAATCACTGCGGCTTCTTCAGAGCAATAACAGCATAACATCTGGGAGATTTCACAGGATCAAACAACTTCACAAGTGCAGACCATGCAATATCTTCCTGCAAATTGATAAGCAATTCAGAAATACAACAATTTATTGAACAACAAAAAAGGACAGATGAGTCAGAGTACATAACCATCATAGAAAAACTACATAAAAACACACTATATAAAATAATTCTATTCTTTCTCGAATAAAATTAACATTTACAATTTTACCTTCCAGAAATTATGCCAGGAAAGCAAACATGAACACAGAGATTGAATTACAGGGTATTTTTTGTTGTGATTGTGGAAAACTGGACATGGCCAATATCAAATGGATATTAATTAATCTTATGCTCAAACATTATTATATTTACTTTGTGCTGTACAAAAATGAGATGAGAAAATCCAGCATAACCTGAATTACATACAAAACTGGATTTATAATTTTATTGCTATAAACTGCATACATATATACATGCAAAATCCATATAAATGACAGCATCATTAGGAAATATACCAAATATTTAACAGTGCTGAAAGATGGGATTATAGTTACTTTTATTTAATATTTTTATGTATTTTAGATTTCTAGCAAAAATATATATTTAACATATTAAAATTAATAATTCTATGCTTCCTATTATATCACAAGAACCTGTAAATTTGTGTGCATACTGTTTTGCCTAATGGTTGTACTTAGGTGAATAGAAATTTTTTTGAAAATGTGTCCCCATAAAATAAGTACTGATTTTGTCACTACCAACTTGGGAATCAAACCTTTCTGGTGATTTGGACTTAGTTGGCCACTTGGTAAAGTATATCATTATTTACATACTTTTAAAAATTGCCTTTCTTCATAATAATACAAATTAGAACAAAGTCATATTTATTAAAATCAATTTGTTCCAAGAGGTCTTTTGATAAGTAAAAAGTAAAGTTTCCTACATGGTGAAATTGTTAAAAAAGAGTTAACAGTGGAAACTTTAGGCTGAGTCTCCAAATGGGTTTAAGTAGTTCACAGTGACTTAGTTTCACTGCAGCCCAGTACAATCTGAAAAATAAGGTCTCCTTAAAGATAATTCAAAAGACAGCATTCTGTCATTTAAGATATATAAAACAAATAATATTGTGAAACAGCAGAAATAATCTTCATCAATTAGAAAGAAGTTTCTACATTGCAAACTGTGTCTGTCCAAAACTCCAAGAGTATTAAAAGGTAAAAATATTATAAAATGAGATGCCTTTTATATCTGGCCTTTATTAATTTTTGGATATGCAATGCCTTTAATATCTGGCCTTTATTAATTTTAGGTATATAATATGTCATATATGGTGGCTTGTGTTCACTGTGTATGTTTAATAATTACCATACAATGAAAAGAACATACATTTTATTATATATATCGCAGTTTTCCTAAAGAGATCTGTTTTACATATGTTTATATGTTAACAATGAGGTGGAATGAATATTTAAATTATGAAAATATAATGAGAAAAATTATCTTACTAGTTTTATGTAAAGTAATTTAACCTAGATATAACCACACTAACATTACTATATTTAATAAAGGTATTTACTATTCATTTAAAAATCATAAAATTTACCTGCTCTTTTAGGTAGCAAAGTCGGTCCAGAAGAATCAATGTCTCTACACAAGGGGCCAAAACAACTTTTAACTAAAAGAATAAGGTAAGATAGTGGACCTTAAATAAAATAGCTTATTTTCTGAACACTCATACTTAAGAAAATGTATCTACAGAAGTTTACATATGACAAATCTACCTGCTATACATCCTCAGAAAATGAATACTGCAGAGATCAAAAGTTTTCTTTAATAAAATAAGTAAAGAATGTCCTTTCAGTGACTTTGAGGTAGAATCCAATAAGCAATCATATGTGATAGAAAGCTTTTAAAAGGGTACTAAGAATGAAATCCATTAAAAGAAATGCTTGTGAAGTAACTGCATTGAGACCAATATGTGTTCAAAGGACTAAAACTTCTTTCTGTGCATTTATAATACATTTTAAGAGAAATCTACCATGTGTTTTTTATTACATTACTGACACCTAATTTAGTTCTGAAATAGGAAATGATCCAAAACAGTTTTTCTATAGAAAGAGAAAAACAACATGGATTGGTTCACCCCAATAAAATTTAATGGAATGGTATTCAAGACTAGCAACATATCCAATTTAATATGTTTAAGTCTAACATTTACCATATTAAAAGCTTCCAGTTCATTCATTCTAGGCTTATACTTCTCATAGTAGTCCATTATAGTTTTTTCTGGCAGCTTCAAAATAAAAACAATAACAATAAATTTATCAACAGTCAAAAATAGTTAAAATTTTTCTTTATCATACATATCCTAAAGCAAAACAAATACAATATCAATTTAAAACCTTAGGTGTTTAAAGAGCTCTCTCAGGATATTCATGGAGCAAGTCAACATAGTTAAATTCTTTCAGTTAAATTTTCTGGAACATAGAACATAGTTTATTTAATATACTATAAATAAAATCACTAATATCTTAATAGTGTTTAATTTCAATACTTAGTAATGAAATATTTACCCTTAGTTATTACTATGCTTGTGGAAAAAAACAAGAATTAAAGAAAGTAATTTTTGAATAAAACTAAAATCTGAAACATTATCAGTTTTAAAATTTTTGTTATTATTACTGTTATTATTGTTTAAGTGCTGGGGATTGAACCCAGGTATTTGTGCGTGTTAGGCAAGCACTCTACCACTGAGCCAAATCCCAAGCCCAATATATTATTAACTAAAGTCCACACTATACAGGTTTCCTTAATTTTTTGCCTAAGTATCTATTGTTTTCAGTTCTAGAATCCCATTCACAGCACCATATTACACCTAGCCCTTTTGGTTTTGACAGTTTCATAGATTTGCCTTGTATGTGATGACTTGTGACACTTTTGATCACTTTGTGATCACTTTTGTGATGACTTTTGAGGAGCTGATTAGATATTTAAAGAATGCTCCTGCACTAGCCTTTGTCAGATTTTTCTTTCCTCATAAACAGAATAGGGTTATAGTCACTGAGAGGAAGAACACAGGAGTACAGTACCACGTTCCTTACATCATAGCAAAGGTGCATAATATCTATATGATTTATCACTGTTGACATTGACTTTGACTACCCGGCTGAGATAGTGTTTGTCAGGTTTCTTCACTGTAAAGTTTCTCTAATCTCTGCTTCCCAGACTCTTCTTGGGAAGAAGAGTTACCATGTACAGCTCACACTTAATGAATGGGAAGTTATATTGGATCTCCTTGAGCACAGAATATCTACAAAATTATTTAGAATTTTTTTCCATGGAAGATTTGTCTCTTCATTTATTTACTCATCTGTTCATTAATTTAAAAAAATAGAGCTATATAAAGTTCTCCAGATAAGCAGAGGTGAGTCATTGCAACTTCATACAGAGTAAGTAGGTTGGATGAGTGCATAAGTGAGACACAGTTGTTTATAGAGTTCATCCTCAATTGCACAGGATCAGAATGTGATTTAGTAATTTGACAGTTCTCATCACTTAACATTAGCCATTGATTAGGGCATCACTGACTCAAGTACTAAGGTAGGTGAACATGGAAGTGAGGCTCATCAGCTGACCCTGCCAAGGGAGCAAGTTTTATCTTGTAAAGATAAAGCTAGTGACAAGAGGCTGATGCAGTCCTGATATACTTAGGTTGCCAGAGGAAATTATCCATGCTGTTACTCAAAATATTAGTGTCACTATCATCTTCTGGAAAACAGACAGCAAAGGTAACTCATATGTGTATTACTTTTAGAAACAATGTAATTATGTATGTAACTACTTCTCCTAAGCTTATGGGTAGTAAAATAGAGGTTTTCTTAAAACAAAAGTAAAAGAAAATGCATGAAGTTCTTGTGACTTTTTCTATTGCATACCTATTCATTGACTAGTTAATGAAGATATTAGAAACTGCTACTATCTGAGTAGTAAAATTGACATATAAAATATTACATTCAGTTCATATCCACTCTAAAACTGAATATTGATAACATATTACTTATTTCATTTGAATTGTCATTTGAAAATTTTGTATTATGTAATTCAAATAATCTAAAGATGCTTTTATTTTTCTCCATTAAATAAAAAACAACAAAAGGGTACAATGTATTTTTCCTTTATTTGTTCTTATTCTTTTAATGGTAATTAGTTACTCCCTAAAGGTACTGATTGCCACAGAGACATCTGTGTACCTAATGTTTCTCTGTGCTTAGCTGAGAGAATAAAGATAATTTTTAAAGGCAATGTGGCTATTCTTATATAGTATTAGACTTACATTATGTGAATCACCTCTATTGCTTAATAAGAATCTTCTTGTATCTTCTATGCATTTGGCATTAAGTATCATCAGGATTAGGTAGGGTTTGCATTGCATTTTTGGCATGTTTTAATTACAATTTGAAAGAAGTGTAATTGTTAACTCATTTCTTTCAAACTTAATTGCTACAAATCTATACACTTTTAAGTTATAGGAGATTTTACTAATCATATACTTATTTTGAAGAAGAATTTGAGGTGGCTTATAACATGAGACATAAAGTATGTCAATAATAAAGCCATTAAAGAAAAAAATGCACTCTAAAGTGTATATAACTCAAAGGAGAAGAACATGACAGCAAAGTAACTTAGGAGATAGTTGTTAGAATCAAGCAGAATTGAGCATAAATCTAATTTTGACTGTCCTAATAACTAAGGCAAAAAAGAAATAAATTAAATGTTCTTTGGAGGATATCATCCTGTCATAAAAAAGTGAACAAAAATTAATGTACAGCAGACCTCAGGTAACATAAGCTTCTTAATAATGTCTTAATTGAATGTCCAGAAACATCCCTGTACTACATAGATTAAGACTCCAGGACCAGTGGAACAGATTAGAAGATGAAGAAACAACTCCAGACACACTCAGATACCTCACCTTCGACAAAGGAGCCAAATACCCTCACTGGAAGAAAGATAGCCTCTTTAATAAATGGTGCTGGAAAAATTGGGTTTCAACTTGCCATAGATTAAAACTAGACTAATATCTCTAACCATATACTAAAATGAAATAGAAATGGATTAAAGATCTAAATATTAAAACAGAAACACTAAACCGGCTGCAAGAGAAGCAGAACTCTTGAAGACATTGGCGTAGGAAAA